TTTCTATCAACAAGTCAAGTACCTCATATGGGAAGAATTAAGTGCTCCAACCAAAAGACAGAGTGGCTAAATGGATAAAAAAAAAAAAAAAAAAAAAAACAAGACCCCTACATATGCTGCCTACAAGAGACTCCCTTCAGATTAAAAGACACACACAGACTAAAAGGAAAGGGATGGGAAAAGATATTGCCTTAATGGACCTAGAAAGTATTATGCTGAATGATATGGGACAGATAGAGAAAAATAAATATCGCATGATTTCACATACATGTGGAATCTATAGAACAAAATCAACAACAACAACAACAAAAGTCGAAATAAATTCATAGAGAATATTTTGAGGTCTACTAGATGGGAAGCGGGTTAGGGGGAACGGCAAAAAAAGGGCAAACAGATTAAGAGGTACGAATGGATAGTTAGGAAATAGACATGGAGATACAAAGTGTAGCATAAGAAAAATAGTTAATAATGTTTTAATAAATATATAAGGGGAAGAGGGGTACTAGATTTAGTGGGGTGATCACTTTGCAAGTTATGTGGATCTCTGATCACTATGCTATACAACTGAAACTGGTATATTATTGTATGCTAACTATAATTTTTAAAAAAACTCAATGAATTGTACAATGTAAATATGAGCAACTGTCTATTATATTTCAATAAAGTTGGAAAAAAAATAAAAAATAAATTCATCTTAGTCCAAACTACTAGAAAACTCTCTGACATCACTCTTAATGATATTTTTGTGGATATGTCTCCTCGGACAAGGGAAACCAAGGAAAAAAATTAACAAATGGGATGACATCAAACTAAAAGTTTTTGCACAGCAAAGAAAACCATCAACAAAATAAAAAGGCAACCTACTGGATGGAAGAATATATCACCAATCATACATCCAATAAGGAGTTAACATCCAAAATATATAAGAAACTCATACGACAACAAAAAATAATCCAATTTTAAAAAAGGCTGAGGACCTGAAGAGACATTTGTCCAAAGAGGACATAGAGATGGGCAACAGACATATGAAAAGGTGCTCAACATCACTAATCGTCAGGGAAATGCAAATTAAAACCACAATGAGATAGCACCTCACACCTGTGAGAATGACTATCATCAATAAAATCAACAAACAAGTGTTGGCAAGAATGTGGCCCTCCTGCACTGTGGGTGGGATTGCAAATTGGTACAGCCACTATAGAAAACAATGTGGAAGTTGCTCAAAAAATTAAAAATAGAGCTACTTTATGACCCAGCAATCTAATTCTGGTATTTATCTGAAGAAATTCAAATCACTAATCTGAAAAGACATATGCACCCCCCTGTTCACTGCAACATTATTTACAACAGCCAAGATACCGCAGCAACTTAAGTGTCCATCAACAGATGATTAAAAAGGTGGTACATATATACAATGAACTGTTGCTCAGCCATAAAAATAAAAAGTGAAATCTTGCCATTTGTGACAAGGATAGACCTAGAGAATTATGCTAAGTGAAATAAGTCAGACAGAGAAAGACAAATACTGTATGATTTCATTCATATCTGGACTCTAAAACAAAACGGAAACAAGCCCATAGATAGAGAACAAATTGATGGCTGCCGGATGGGAGGAGGGGTTGGTGGGATGGGAGAAATAGGAAAGGGATTAAGATGTACAAATTGCAGTTATCAAAAGGGGGACGTAAAGTACGCCACAGGGGACAGTGTCAATAGTATTGTAATAACTATGTATGGTGTCAGACAGGTATAGGCTTATTGGGGTGATCACTTCAGAAGTTATATAAATGTCTAATAACTATGTTGTACACCTGAAACGAACACAATATTGTATGTTAACTGTAACTGAAAAAAAGTTTTATTTAAAACAATTAACTACGAAAACAAATTTTCCTGTACATACTAGCAGTTATTAACATTCTACCGAATATGAATTTAAGCACTTAAAAGTATGGTGGTGATGGAAAAGAATGCTAGCAAAAGTACAGATCAGAATATATGACAATTTTGTTTAAAAAATGGAGAGAATAATGTAACCACGTTTTTGCTTGTATATGCATAAAATGGCTCTAGAAAGTTTAATGGCAACTTATGGAGAATGAGAGCTGCATGTTTGAGGTAAGGGGCATGAAGGAGACTGTTCACTGTATATGCTTTAGTATCTTTTGAATTTGAAGCAATGAATGTAATACCTACACAAGAATGTAATTGAAAAAGCCAGGCTTCTAGTCCCAATCTGCCACCGTGTTACCTTGGACAACTGGACAAAGCGATAAGCAGAAAAGATTTCCAGGTTCTATTCTAATTCTAAATCTATTATGATCTCAATGGGGTGGGGAGTAGTATATATATGGTAGTCGTTTTTTTAAAGACGCGTCAAGAGATACTAGTTAAAAGTTTTGCAAAATAAGGCAACTTTTTAAGAACTTGATGGTTTTTAAATACTATTTTTACAGTTTTAAGAACTGTAGAATTGCCAAGCCTATTAATCTTTCAAGATCATTTGTACTATTTTTACGGAAAATCTTTCCTTGCAAGGAGTCTAATGTAACTTACTATGCCATGGAGTGAGCAATAAAATACACTAATTTACATTTAAAATACATAAATAACTATACCTAAAACAAGAAACTTATACTAAAAGCGTTTATTATCAGACACTGTAAGAAAATAACACCATCAATCAATGATAACAGTTGTAAATAATTGAGTATACACTTTATTCCAGGTGTGGATTCTATGTATCATCTTTAATCCGACCATTCATCTGGAAAAGTAAGTTTTAGTATCCGTATTTAACATAAGAAAAGGATGAAACCTCCCAGTCTAACAAATGACAGAGCTAGGAGCCCACTCTGAACCTTTGGATCTGAGCTCAGTGCACCAGACAGGGGTTACTTAATGTTGGCTGGCACACTGGTACAGGTTTACCACAGAGTTTTTACTAATTTATATACAAATTAGGGAAAACAAGGAGAAGAAAGTAAACTTTTAATAAAGCTAAATGATTCCATTTAAAGGGCTTTTATTCTGAGATTCCGTTCTTTCAAACTGAGTTAAAATATCCTTTTTTTTTTTTAAAGTGAAATGATAGTGACAGTGGATAGTGGTATGGGTTTATTGTTGCTGTTTTTCTTGGATATACCTGACAGAACAAAAAACTAGCCATTCTATTACAACCTCTCAATTTGGAGGGTAAATGTTTCTTTTGAATCCCAAAGTCTAGGAACTACTTCCCTTA